TTTATTTCGGATGCGATTAATCGTTTGACAGCACTAAAATAAAAATATAATAAAAATATTAAAAAAGGTAAAAAAATAAATATAACGTAAAAACAACTTTAAAGGTAATGAAAACAGGCTTCATTTTATGCAAATAAATATAAATATAAATGTAATGATTTTGGAGCTTGTTGTGAGATGTGCAGCGCTGCAGGAGGAGTGTGTGTGTGTGTGTGTGTTCAGAGATGCTCACAAACACGTTCACACACATAAGCAGCATGTTAAATCATGCCAGGACACACAATCAGCTGATGAAGACCGGAACAGATCAGCCGCTCAAAACGTGCTCATCATCAGGACTCGTCTCACTGTGCTGCATGTTAGATTCGGCTCACAAGAGTCATTTCTGTATGAAGTGGACTGTGGTGCTTCTGTGAGGGCAGGTGTTGAGGGCTGCTGGTCTGCGGTCAGTGTTTTTGTGCTGTGTGGATGTGTACTCACCCCGCTCCACTCTATGGCCATACTCACTTCATCTGCGCCCTCAGAGCCGCTCTCGTACTTCACACTGGACACACTGTCTCTGCTCTTCAGGAGCTCCACCACACGCGTCTGATGGACCGCATCCAGACCCTGACCACAGCACACATCAGACCAGACCACACTCACACTAACTCTGAATACATCAACATGCAGTACTGCTGACCAACAAAGACTAAAATGAGGTTTCAAAAACTCTTTATATGTGTTCCTGCAGCACAAAAGCAGTGTTAAGTCGCTGGGGTATATTTGTAGCAATAGCCAACAATACATTGTATGGGTCAAAATTATTGATTTTTCTTTTATGCCAAAAATCATTAGGATATTAAGTAAAGATCATGTTCCATGAACATATTTTGTAAGTTTCCTACCGTAAATATACCGAAACGTAATGTTTGATTAGTAATATGCATTGCTAAGAACGTTATTTGAACAACTTTAAAGATGATTTTCTCAATATTTAGATTGTTTTTTTGCACCCTCAGATTCCAGATTTTCAAATAGTTGTATCTCGACCAAATATTGTTCTATCCTAACAAACCATACATCAATGGAAAGCTCGTTTATTCAGCTTTCAGATGATGTATAAATCTCAATATTGAAAAAATTGACACTTAAGACTTTTGTGGTCCAGGGTCACATATAAATGACTGTAAGACAGAAATAATACTGTGTAGTTGAAAAGACTGTTTGTGAAGCTGTTTCTTACCCAAACATGGTAACTGTCTGCTCTGTGTCAGCGGCAGCACAAACATCTTTGATTGCTCCAGTATGACTTTTTCAAAGGTTTAATGGTCACGAGCGAATCGTTGTCATTTACAAATGGGATCGCATGGGTGTTTGAATCGAGATCGCGATCTTTTACCGATTAATCATGCAGCTCTAATATATATACTTACAATTACTTACAAATTGTAATCCGTTACTGATTCCAGATTACATGACAAAAGTTGCTGTTAGTAACATAATTCATTACATTACACATTTCAAGTAATGTAATCAGACTGCTGTTTGATTACTTTTAGATTACATTTGACCCAAGTCATTTATCACATTGATTTAAATCAGATAACCATGTACCATATTGATATAAAGATGCAAAGAAAGCAATAGCCAACAATACATTGTATAGGTCAAAATTATGCCAAAAATAATTTGGCTATTAAGTAAAGATCATGTTCCATGAAGATATTTTGTAAATTTCCTACCGTAAATATATCAAAACTTAATTTTTGATTAGTAATATGCATTGCTAAGAACTTCATTTGAACAACTTTAAAGATGATTTTCTCAATATTTAGATTTTTTTGCACCCTCAGATTCCAGATTTTCAAATAGTTGTATCTCGACCAAATATTGTTCTATCCTAACAAACCATACATCAATGGAAAGATTATTTGTTCAGCTTTCAGATGATGCATTAATCTCAATTTCACAAAATTGACCCTTATGACTGGTTTTGTGCTCCAGGGTCACTTATAATAAATCAGGACACTAGATGAGCTCAAATAAAGCATGTGAGTGCAATTATAATTTTGAGCAAAATAATAATGATTATCAGTTTAACCATTATGCAGCTTGAGTAAAATACAACTAAGACTTAATTGAATAAAATAGACTTAAATTCTCAGACTTTTAGTCAACTAAAACCTGATTTAACAAAAACAGGACAGATATATGATAAAAACTGAAAGAGACTAATTTAAAGGAAAAGCAGCTGAGAGAATGAACACTGTAACACATGCAGCATCATCACTAATGAACATCTTCAGAAACACTCACAGAGCTGCTCTGGATCCAGAGAGGAGCAGAAGGAAAGAGACGAAGGAAAGCACATGAAACAACAGTCATTCATTCACACTCACACACTCACACTCTCTCACACACACACACACAGACGGCGCACTCCTCCAGTGTCTCTGCTGCCTCCAGCTTGCCCTGTCTGCGGTACAGAGCTCCCAGATTCCTCAGCGTCGTGTTGACCGTCGGGCTGCGCACAAACAACAGCGTCATCATGAGGAATATCAGCTCTTATGACTGGCTCTGACGGATTCATCAGGAGATTCTCTCTGTCTGTATAAGCTCACTGTTTTTACATGACACATTGATGTGATTATTCTGTATCAATGTTTAGATGAGTCAGGAGGAGAAACTAGACCCTTTAAACAGTTAAACATAACTGATAAATCTTAGTCTGGCCATGTAAATGACCGTATACTGACCTGAGAATCATTTCAATCACATCAGCTGTTGAGAATCAGAACTAGTGATGCCAGATTCGCAAACGCATCATTATTGATCAAACCTGCTTGCAAAAAAGGACTGACACTGTTTGTGATTCAGTCTGATTCATTCGGACAGTTCACTCCAGATTCTTATGGAATTCCGTTTCTGCCACAGAATGAAAAATAAAAAAGGTAATATCAACTTTTTTCTCATAATCTCACAATTATGACTTTTTTCTTGCAATTGTATGTTTATGCCTCACATCTTTGATATCTTGCAATTCTAAATTTATATCTCACAGCTGACTATATATCGCAACTTTTTATATCTTGCAACTCTGACTTTATATGAATTATATCATCATTCTCCTTTTCAGAATTGCAAGAAAAAAGTCAGAATTGTGAGATAAAATGATCACAATCACCTTGTTTATTTGATTTTTTCCCCCTGTGTAGGAAACAGGCTTTCTTAGTTTCTCACTGGATCATTTATAAGACTGATAACATAAAGAGGGCTGGATGAGGGGAATATTCACCAATAATCAACTGTAAAAAAAAAAAAAAATGCTTTGGATGGTTTGTCAGTGATGATGAAGCAGCTTGTGAGAGACACTGTACTGAAGGTGAACATGATTTATATCCATAAGAGAATCAAATCTGATCAAACTACAGGGAAACCCTGACGAAGGGCTAGAAACACAGATGTGTGTGTCTGTCTGCTGTTTGCTGCCTAATGTGTGTGTGTGTGAGAGTGAGTGTGTGTGTGTGTGTGTGAGTGAGTGAGTGAGTGTGTGTGTGTGTGTGTGAGTAAGTGAGTGAGTGTGTGTGTGTGTGTGTGAGTAAGTGAGTGAGTGTGTGTGTGTGTGTGTGAGTAAGTGAGTGAGTGTGTGTGTGTGTGTGTGTGTGTGTG